CAAGTATATATAGGGGGAGGGGAGGGGCTGCGCCCCCACCTAGGATTCCCTCCCTAGGGGTGGCGGCAGCCCCTAGATCCCATCTAGGGGGCGGCCAAGGGGAGGGGGAGAGGGAGGCGCACCAGGATGGGCCCTAAGGCCCATCTGCCCTTAGGGTTTGCCCCCTTTCCACCCCTTAGGCGCCTTGGGCCCTTGTGGGGGGGGGGGGCGCACCAGCCAACCTGGGGCTGGTCCCCTCCCACACTTGGCCCATGCAGCCCTCCGGGGCTTGTGGCCCCACTTGGTGGACCCCCGGGACCCTCCCGGTGGTCCTGGTACGTTACCGATAAACCCCGAAACTTTTCCGGTGACCAAAACAGGACTTCCCATATATAAATCTTTACCTCTGGACCATTCCGGAACTCCTCGTGACATCCGGGATCTCATCCGGGACTCCGAACAACATTCGGTAACCACATACAAACTTCCTTTATAACCCTAGCGTCATCGAACCTTAAGTGTGTAGACCCTACGGGTTCGGGAACCATGCAGACATGACCGAGACGTTCTCCGGTCAATAACCAACAGCGGGATCTGGATACCCATGTTGGCTCCCACATGCTCCACGATGATCTCATTGGATGAACCACGATGTCAAGGACTTAATCAACCCCGTATACAATTCCCTTTGTCTATCGATACGATACTTGCCCGAGATTCGATCGTCGGTATCCCGATACCTTGTTCAATCTCGTTACCGGCAAGTCTCTTTACTCGTTCCGTAACACATCATCCCGTGATCAACTCCTTGGTCACATTGTGCACATTATGATGATGTCCTACCGAGTGGGCCCAGAGATACCTCTCCGTCACACGGAGTGACAAATCCCAGTCTTGATTCATGCCAACCCAACAAACACTTTCGGAGACACCTGTAGTGTACCTTTATAGCCACCCAGTTACGTTGTGACGTTTGGCACACCCAAAGTATTCCTACGGTATCCGGGAGTTGCACAATCTCATGGTCTAAGGAAATGATACTTGACATTAGAAAAGCTTTAGCATACGAACTACACGATCTTGTGCTATGCTTAGCATTGGGTCTTGTCCATCACATCATTCTCCTAATGATGTGATCCCGTTATCAATGACATCCAATGTCCATGGTCAGGAAACCGTAACCATCTATTGATCAACGAGCTAGTCAACTAGAGGCTTACTAGGGACATGGTGTTGTCTATGTATCCACACATGTATCTGAGTTTCCTATCAATACAATTCTAGCATGGATAATAAACGATTATCATGAACAAGGAAATATAATAATAATCAATTTATTATTGCCTCTAGGGCATATTTCCAACAACCCATACCACCACAAGGTTTGGGATGGATCATGCATCCCCAGGAGATCTAGTGGGTGCAATGGATATCTTTGCTTGCACCCCATCAAAACTCTATCGTGATTCATGAGTTCTTCATAAAGGCCCGGGAAGTTTGAAGACATCCATCAAATAGGTCGCGCGGGGATTGCATAACTGCCTTGATGAGGATTTCTTTGCCGCCATTTGAAAATTCTCCTGATTGCACTATTCCTTTCAGAAGTTGCGCTTGGATGATGTGAAAAATTCCTCATGCCATTCGGCCCATTGGTTTAGGGAGCCCCAAATTTTTTGCTCAAACTATACTTGTGTAACCCTGCAGCACAACCTTGACCTCCTCTTGTACATCGCTAGGGCAAGCTTTTCCATCCATGAGACCACTCGTGTCAACATTTCCCAACTGGCATGTCCCTTGGGCATGTTGATCACTTGCTGCACTGACGTTGCTAGGCCTCTGCCTTAAAAAAGAGCGTGATGACCTTTTTTAATTTTTAGGACATATATTTATGTAAATATTTGCAGCTACTAAGGGGTGATAAACAATAGGATAATCGCGTTTTAAGGCAAACATAATGACTTCAATTCATTTAGGACCCGAATATCCAGCGAACGAAACTGCTACCCAGACGACAGTGCTACACGATCTATGTACGACGTGCTAATCCAGCCGCTGGTGCCCTTGTCGATCATGTGCATGTCCGGCTGGATTTAAGCATCGTCTATGAATCGTGTGCATTCTATCGTGTGTGTATAGCACTGCTGTTCAGCGAACGTCAGCTTTTAGGCATGATAAATCGAACATTTTTTAATGGCAAATTATGTCCGGGTTGTGTTGATAGCCCCGTCTGTCGTGATCGAACTAGCCGGGGTTCCGTCACGCCCATGCGTGGCTTACTAGGAGCCTCCGTGTCTGTCTGTTCCACTCGGGCTTCCTAGGGGCTCTTTGCACCATATAATATTATAATATATACTTCCTTAACCACTTTAAGACAGATCGATCTTAAGAAGATCATTGCCTACTCCTCAGTAGCCCATATGAATTCGGTAACTATTGATATGTTTAGTGGGGCGGCGGCCGTTAGGTCACCTATTGTGAGTTATGGACACACAAGCAAGGCCAAAACATGTGTGCCAGGCATGCGACCCATCAACCTATTAGCAATAGTGAGAAAACTTAGCATGTCGCAACAAAAGCATCGATGTCTGTTTAGCCAGCACTACCTGACTAAAGAGTTGTAGATGTCAGAAACCCATACCACCACAAGGTTTGGGATGGATCATGCATTCCCAGGAGATCTAGTGGGTGTAATGGATATCTTTGCTTGCACCCCATCAAAACTCTATCATGATTTTCATGAGTTATCCATAAAGGCCCGGGAAGTTTAAAGACATCCATCAAATAGGTCGGCGGGGATTGCATAACTGCCTTGATGAGGATTTCTTTGTCGCCATTAGAAAATTCTCCAGATTGCACCATTCCTTTCAGAAGTTGCACTTGGATGGTGTGAAAATTCCCTCATGCCATTCGGCCCATTGGTGTAGGGAGCCCCAAAATTTTTGCTCAAACTATACTTCTGTAACCTTGCAGCACAACCTTGACCTCCTCTTGTACATCGCTAGCTTTCCCATGCATGAGACCACTTGTGTCAACATTTCCCAACTGGCATGTCCCTTGAGCATGTTGATCACTTGCTGCACCACCAACCTTGCTCGGCCTCTGCCTTAAAAAAGAGCCCGAGGACTTTTTTTTTCAATTTTTAGGACATATATGTATGTAAATATTTGCAGCTACTAAGGGGCGATAAACAATATGATAATCACGTTGTTAAGGCAAACATAATGACTTCAGTTCATTTAGGACCCGGATATTCAGCGAACGTCAGCTTTTAGGCATGATAAATCGAACATTTTTAATGGCAAATTATGTTCGTCGAGAATGACAAGTTTAGTTGGCGAGCATGGAAAATTCGCTTCAATTTTTTTGGCAGGAATTTTTTGTGCTTGCAAACTTAAATTGCCATCATCACGCCAAATATAAATTGCCATGAAAACATCAGATTTGCCATGCCTAGAAATTTGACTAAGGAGAAAATTTCATTTAACCCTCATCCGATTAAGGAGAAAATTTCAGGCCTAACAAATGTTGGTTTTTTTTTTTGCGGATGAAAACAACTGTTGGTTTTAAATACACTCCCACACGAATATGAGTTTATTTGTGAAATTTAGCATGTTTATAATGTACATCGATGTTCTTTCTTTGCGAAGGGGTACATCGATGTTCTAACACACTGTGTTTTTTTAGAATTGTTGGAAACTATCCAATATAATGCTCATGAAGTTATTGTTATTATCCTCGCAAAGAATCTTTTAATATTAATTAGTACTCCTACTTTCTCTTTAAAACTAATAAATGTTACTTCTTTTGAGAGAGAAAACTAATTGTTATTGGACTATAGGTCTAATTGTCACCTTCTTTTTTTAGTTAATCTAATTGCAACCTTTTGATCTGTTCACCATGGACACACCATTATGGCCCATTAGAAAACGAAACCGACCCCATAGAGAAAAGTGCAAAGCCCAACCCACCAATCCGCGCACCGCCAAAGCCCGAACTATCCGCCCCCTCCGGCGCCGACCCACCGCCGCTCACCATGGAGCCTGCGGCGATGGACTTTTTTCAATTTTTAGGACATATATGTATGTAAATATTTGCAGCTACTAAGGGTCGATAAACAATAGGATAATCACGTTGTTAAGGTAAACATAATGACTTCAATCATTTAGGATCCGAATACTCAGCAACGTCAGCTTTTAGGCATGATAAATCAAACATTTTTAATGAAAAATTATGTTCGTCGAGAATGGCAAGTTTAGTTGACGAGCATGGCAAATCCGCTTCAGTTTTTTTGCCAAAGAAATTGTTGTGCTTGCAAACTAAAATTGCCATTATCACGCCAAATATAAATTGCCATGAAAACATCAGATTTGCCATGCCTAGATCCGACGTCATATTTTTTAGCGTTTTTGTTCATTTAACCCTCACCAGATTAAGGAGAAAATTTCAGGCCTAACAAATGTTGGGGTTTCTTTTGCGGATGAAAACAACTGTTGGTTTTAAATACATGCCCACACGAATATGAGTTTATTTGTGAAATTTAGCATGTTTATAGTGCACATCGTGTTCTTTCTTTGCGAAGGGGTACATCAATGTTCTAACGTACTGTATATTTTTTATAATTATTGAAAACTATCAAATATAATGTTCATGAAGTTATCATTATTATCCTCGCAACAAAATCTTTAAATACTAATTAGTCTCCTACTTTCTCTTTAAAACTAATTTTTACTTATTTTGAGAAAAAAACTAATTGTTACTTTTTTGAGGGGTATTGTTTCTTCTTTTGAGAAAAAAAACTAATTGTTACTGGACAATGGATCTAATTTTTTTTAGACAAAGACAATGGATCTAATTGTCATCTTTGATCCGTTCACGATGGACACACCACGACGGCCTTACGGCCCATTAGAAAACGGAACCGACCCCGTAGAAAAGTTCAAAGCCCAACCCACCAATCCGCGCACCGCCAAAGCCCGAACCATCCGTCCCCCTCCGGCGCCGACCCACCACCGTCGCTCGCCATGGAGCCCGCGGAGATGGACCGCATCGCCGCCCGGCTCTCCGCCGTGGATGGCCTCTACTTCCCCACGGCCTTCCTCCGCGCCTCGCCGCCGCCGCCGGCGCGCAAGTCGGCCCTCCTCGACCTCCTCTCCCGCGACGCCCCGCTCTTCCTCGAGCGGTACGGCGCCGCGCTGCGCCCGGACGAGCTGGCCCCCTTCGACGCGCTCCGGGACGACTACGAGGTGGGGTGGCACCTCCGCCGCGTCCGCGCCGCGGCCGCCGGGGAGACCCCCGCCCCCGCGCGCGTGCGCAACCGGCGCCGCGCCTACCTCCACCGCCTGGTGACCCAGGGGGACTACTTCTCCGAGGAGGCGATGCGGGAGCGGGAGCCGTACCTGCACCACGAGTACCTCGGCAGGTTCCAGGACCCCTTCGGGCGGGCCATGGTGCGGCCCGGGGAGAAGTTCTCCGAGACGCTGATGCGGCGGGCAGAGGAGGCCGTCATCGTGGAGAAGATCCGCGGGGAGCAGATCAGGAGGGGTGTTGACCCCAGCGAGTGGGTCGGCGGTCCCGTTGAGCGACCGGTGATGGGGCAGGAGGAGGAGGAGGAGGAGGAGGAGGAGGAGGAGGAAGAGGAAGAGGAAGAAGAGGATGAAGAGAACATCGGCATGGAGGAGAACACCGAGAATCTTAGTTCGACTGAGGTTTGCTTGCTGCCAATTAGCCTTACTCTCTGCATGTTCTCACTTGATTTGTGCATAATTTCCTTGTTAAATTGCTTGCACTTACATAGAACTGTAAAAGTTTGTGTTGTGATGATACATTGAGGCGATGTAGTTGCGCTTACATTGATTTTGCTTATATAACTCACCCTGACTTGTAGACTATTAATCTTCCTTTGTAGTCTTCTTTGTCTATGGGAAATAGTAATCTAGTCTGCTTTGTCTATGGAAAATAGTAATCTACACTGTCTGAAGTCTTCAGAGGTTATAGAAAATTAGTTGTTTTACAGGTATGACTTTATTATATCAAATCCAGTAAATGGTTAGGTAGAAAAAAACATTTTTTTTAATGCAGAACTGCTTTACAGTTCCCTTAAGTATTGCAGTTGCAGATACTCCACAATAGCCTCTTGGTTGGTTATGTTTATGCTAGGGTACAGTTTCTGTTTAGATGGACGAGGGAGTCTAAGTTGCTCATGTTTTTTGTGTGTGTGACATGCGTTCTTTGTATGGCATTGTGTAACTTCTAGTTTGCTAGTTTACAGAGGGAGTAATTGTTATTACATAGTTCTAACTTCAGATATATCGGACCCACTCTTAAGAAACTAGGATTAATATGGCACCATGTAACTGCAATTACATAGTTATAAGTTCAGATATTGTGCTTTTGGGTGGGGTGACTCCTCATTCGCCAGATCTTTGAGTGACCGCCGTATGTGATTTTCCAATTTGGAGAATCAAAATGTAGCACTTTTTCCCTCAGATCTGCACCATTTTGTACAATAGGAATGTTTTCTCTTTACTTCACAAGACATTAGTGTAGGTAAGGTATCAGCCTTCCCGCAAGTCCTAGTCTTCACCCTTTGTTAGATATATTAGATATAAGTGGGTTAATTGGGCCAAGGTCGGACCATGGTCGTCCGCTTCCGCTTTGTCTATGGAAAATAGTAATCTACACTATCTGAAGTCTTCAGATGTACTCCCTCTGTAACTTAGTGCAAGACGTTTTTGCTGCAAAAATGTCTTGCATTAAGTTACAGAGGTTGTAGAAAATTCTTTGTTTTACAGGTATGACTGTATTACATCAAATCCAGTAAATGGTTAAGTAGAAAAAAAAACCATCTTTTTCTGCAGAGCTGCTTTAGAGTTCCCTTAAGTGTAGTTTGCAGTTGCAGATACCCCGCAATAGCCTCTTGGTTGGTTATGTTTTAACGCTAGGATACGGTTTCTGTTTAGATGGATACGGGAGTCTAAATTACTCATGTTTTTTTTTTGTGTGAAATGTGTTCTTTATATGGCATTGTGTAACTGCTAGTTTGCTAGTTACATAGTTCTAACTTCAGATCTATCAGACCCGCTCTAAGAAACTAGGATTAATATGGTACCATGTAATTATTACTCCCTCCGTCCGAAAATACTTGTTGGAGAAATTGATAAATGGATGTATCTAGAACTAAAATCCGTCTAAATACATCCATTTATCCGACAAGTATTTCCGGATGAAGGGAGTATTACATAGTTCTAATTCAGATATATCGGACCCTCTCTAAGAAACTAGGATTGCTATGGCACCATGTAACTGCTATAACGTAGTTCTAACTTCAGGTATAGTGCTTTGGGGTGGGCCCTCATTCGCCAGATCTTTGAGTTCACTGCCGGTTGTATGTGACTTTCCAATTTTGGAGAATCGAATTGAAGCCCTTTTTTTGCTCAGTCTATCTGGACCATTTTGTACAATAGGAGTGGATTCTCAGATATTCTCTTTAGTATAGGTATATATCAGCCTTCCCACCAGTCCTAGTCTTCACCCTTTGTAAGTTAAGTGGGTCAATTGGGCCAAGGTCAGGACCATGGCCGTCCGTCTCCGCTTTGCCAGCCTCAGAACGCTCAAGGAAACTAGGATTACCTGTTTTTTGCTGAAAGATTTGTAACCGCTAGTTTTGCGTACCCTCAACGGCTGTAGCTGTGGTCAGATTTGGAAATCCCGTCATTTTTAACTCTGCAGTATTTTTCTTGTGTGCTAGGGCCATGTGATGAATCTGAAAACAACATGCACCTCACATTTTGACTGAACATTTAAGCAGTGAGGAAGAAACAATTTGAAAGTAAAACCAGATCACTGGATTAGTTCTTGACTAGAACAGATTCATGACATAATGGCCCAACTGTGTCGGTGTCAACTTGATGTAGAGCTGTTGTTCGGAGAAATGACAATCTAATTCAGCAGGACAATATGCTAGACTCGGTCAATCTAAGGCGTCTCTTTCAGTTACCGTCGCTTTTGGCTTGCACTTGCGGCATTTGCCTTTTCTTATTTGACTGGAGAGAAAAACCAGGGTATCTTTCCTCTGAGTTTAGATAGATCTATTTTCTATCTTGGTTTTCCTTACTAAGATACCTCTGGTGGAGCAGTAGTGAACTTTGCCGTAGCAGATTATTAGATGTTCATTTTCTTCCTAACCCCTGGTCGCAGGTGGTTGCACACGACGATAACGGTGGTTGCCCCAACGAGACTGCAGCCCCCCCTGCAGGGACTTTCAAGCCAATATTATCCCCTGAGGAGATGGAGGATCAGCTGGAGCAGTTCACCTCGGTGATGCAGGAGAAGTTCCTGTCAGGCCAGGACTCGGAGCACATGGATTACCCCCAGATCGACAACGACGAGATGCTGGACGACCACTGGTCCAGGGAGGCCAACTACGACGCAGAGGACAAGTACTTCAACGAAGATTAGGACGGTCGAGAACGTAGTCTGCTGCTATTTAAGTTGCAATACTCGGTAAGTTGGGGTCAGCCATGTTTGTTTCTCGGCGGAGTTTGATACTTTTCAGTCTTGGTTTCACCCTTCGTGCTGTTAGTTTCTCCTTGTCAAAATGTAGGTCAAGTGCTCCTCCATGAGCTGAAGGTTGCATGTAGCAGTATGAGGGCAAACACCACGTTGTAGTGCCGCTCCACCTGCAGCAGGCTGAACCTGGACACCGGCAACACCTCCAATATAGTACTTCCTCCATTCGGAATTACTTGTCACAGAAATGAATGTATTTAGACGTATTTTAGTTTTAGATACATCCATTTCCGAAACAAATAATTCCGAACGGAGGGAGTAGTATGATTAGGACACAACTTACACACGTGAGGGAGGTGCGACGAGCTCTACGAAGGGTAATATACGGGTTATGGAGCTGCTGCATTTTTGACCTTTCTCCGCATCGTTCTCAGTGGAGCTTTGGTTTGATACCTTGGCGGTGCTTTTTGTCCGCGTCACGCGTCATTTCTCCCCCCTCTTGTGTTGCAGTCTTACTTCACTTTCTTTCTTTCTTTCTTTCTTCAGCGCCGGCAAGCATTCCACACCGTTTACCGTTTGAGTCCCCGTGTTATGCTTGGGCACGTTGTGCTATGACCTCACTGCCCGTGTGCTGGACCAAGACATGGCTTTCATTGTACAGTATAAATAAAGCTTGCTTAAGCATGCTGCATTGCTGCATTATGACCTTTGTGATGGTCGTTGTTCCAGACCAGGAAATGACTTGTGGATCCCTACAATGAATGGATTAGAGCGTGTTGCGCTGCATTGGTTTTCCTTCCGGAATTGTATATTTTTGCTAAGCATCGTCTGTTTATTGTCATCAGTCCTATCCACAAGCAAAACCAGTTGAGAGTTGACTCTCCGTCTTGGTACGAGGAAAACGCCCCCCACTACATTCTTCAGGCAATTGCACTGAAAATGGCCCGAGTCTAGATTTACTCTTAGTTCCAAATAGATGTTTGTTTCGGCTTTTGGTTTTTTTCTACGAGAATCTGCTGCCTAAAGCTGAAACAAACAGGGCCTATGCAGGTCTAGCATTTTTGGAGAGAAAAATAGAAGGCCGAGTAGCAGTAGTACTAGCACCACAAAGACAAGTCCAACGCCGTGCATCAAATGTCCATGTCGTGGTCCGAACATTCGGAATCTCACGAACTAATTTCCGGATGTTCGAACTGTGACATGGATGTTTAGTGCACGGCGTCGGATGGACTAAAATGCCCATACCGTATGGTCCGGACATTTTGGGAGGTGTTTCAATGCACGGCGTTGGTTCAATTTCTTTTTGTCTTGTGTTTCTTTTGTTGTCCCCTCTTTGTGTCTCCAAATCCTGACTTTCGAGCGGAGTTATTTACCCAAAACCATCACAGTTGGGGCTAGCGTAACAATTTGGTATCATATTTATGTCAAGGCAAAAAAAATCACCCACTTTGTGCCTAACCAGTAACTGGAGCATTAATCGTCAAGTTTGCTCGAGGAAATAACAAACCCGAAAACTAGGGCCCACTTGTCGGGCTGATGTGGTGAAGACTAAAAAGTTTGACCGACTGACGTGGCAAATAAAATGCGGGACCCACCTGTCGATGAGTAAACGGCCATCTTCATCCCATCTCTATTTCTATGGGGCATTTCATCAAACTGCTTCTGGGCGGCCGCTGAGGAGCTTTTTCTTGCAGTCATGGGGATGAGCTTGATGCGGCCGAAGTGAGCTTGACGCGGTCGGGGCAGGGGGAAGAGTGCGGTGAACAGGGGAGGCCACACGGACATGAAGCCAGCGGCTCGTCGGGCGTCAGGCTGCCGGCGAGGACGGCTCATCAGGCGGCCGGATGGATGGCATGCACGCCAGCACGGGTGCGTCCAGGGGCTCCCTGCTCACCACCGTAGCGTTGCTAGCCGCTGTGTGCATTGAGCAGCAGTTCCAGCGTGCCGCAACGTCGCCGGCCATTGTGCACAGCTGCGCAGCACCGCTTTAGGGGATTCTGGTCACACCCTAGGCGACGCCGAGAGAGGCGGTCACTTCCACGACATGGCTCGGGGACGCGACCTGGTCTCCTGGCGCGATGCCCAAGGAGGCGGCCACTTGGACCTCCATGACACAGCCAGCGAGGATGGCGTCGAACGCCGACCACCGCGTGTACGTGTCTCCTGGCGGCACACACATGTTGGGCAACGAAGAAGAACCAGCCACGGTGCAGCTCGGCTGGAGACAGGGAAGAAGCAAGGGTCGCTCATAGCCGGTTTGTTGAAATGCCCGTGAAGGAAAATAGGAAGAAAAAAAAAAGACTTGAGTCATTGACGGGTAGGACATTCGTCCAACTCAGCATATTGTTCACGTAAGCACGCCACATCATCCTAACATGCGGGCACTACTTGTTGGTTTGGTCGTTTTCGCGACCAAATCCAAGCATTAGTGCTTTAGCCGGCATGTCACCTCCCAGTGGCCCCGCCCCCTAAGCCATGTTTCTCACTTCGTCCTAAAAATGTCCGGATTGGCGGTATGGAGTGAGAGAAAAAAGAAAAGATAGTCCAGGGTGGATAGTGTCCTACCTGGCTGACTGACCGGGTGCGTCCACGAACCCCTCGAATCCTCCTCATATATGGTTCGAGTATGACGGTTTACTAATATGGGTGGGGGTAAGGTGGGGGTTTGGTTGGGTTACCTTTTTTCCTTCTGTCTCTTGTCCGGTCAGTGATCGGGCTGTCTGTTCATATGTTTAGGGAGGATTTTTGGGGATTGGGTGTAGATGCTCCCAATCCTCGAGCAGCGCGTTACCCCCAGAGCACCGGTGTCTCCGCTCGAAGAAACCACGACAAGACAAATGAAGAGCGGGCTCCATCGCAATGTCGAACGGCAAAAAGGACGGAACTTGGGTGGATGATGGTGGTGATTGTAGCAAAGAATTTGAAGAATGGTGGTCTTTTTCATGCGAAAGCAATGCGGAAAGGTCCAAATGCGCCTCGATTTGGATGGGTATTGGGTGTCGAACGCTTGGACACCCACGAACCTCACCCAACTTTGCAACTAGATTGCGAGAGTTCGGAGGCCAGGACGCAACCCCGGACGTTCGAGACACGACAATGTGTAGAAGAAAAGAGGCGAAACAACAGGAACAAGGTCCGAACGTTTAAGGAAGGTTTGATCTTCGCGTGTTGGAGTTGTGCTTAGAGCATGGTTAATAATATAGCCAACAGCTTGCTAAAAGAAGTTGCCATGCCATCTAGAGTTAACCTAATAGCCTGCTTGTACAATAGTAAGATTTAAATATGTAATACTTTAATAGTTAGCCCATCATACATTCTCACAAAGTGTCTTGGGTCTCGTGATACAGTAGGCTTTTATTCTACAGCTCACTTCCCTTCTCTCTCCTCTTCTCCCACCTCCAACTAAACGTAGCATGATTGGTTTGCTACCAGTACTAGTAGAACGCCCGTGCGTTACTACGGGCTATAATGCATATAAATAAATCAGTCAAATAATTGAGATCGTCCTCAAGGTGTACGTCCGAGTTTGTTCGAATATCGAAAGGGCGCCCAACAGGCTTTCGCCCGTCTGGACAATCCGGGCAGCCCAAATCTAGGCCATATGTGGAGGAGAAATGTGATCGTCTGGAGTATCCGTTATGTTATGTCCAACATGCGGACCCAACACAACAACCCCACCCAAGCCCATGATGGACCCTTCCCTTTTTTGTCGGATTGCCCTTTCTGGCTTGGTTTCCTGTTATAGGAGGACCTTTCTCATTGGTGCTCTCTCCTTTAAAACAGGATGACACTCACCTCATTTTTGCCATGGAGTCCTCTCTTCTTCACATTGTACTTGCCCACGTACAGACAAACAATCCCCAGCCAACCGCCCCAATCTCCACCCTGATTCCCTCCCCACATGTTTGTGTCAATCCACAATCGCCATCAAGGGGAGGCATGAGCTTCCCATGGCACTAAGCCAAAAATACAGATCCAATGTCTCCTAAGCCATTGATACATTGTAACATACAGTTGAAGGTCGTGCATTATCACGAAACAAAAATATGATTTGCATTGTTGGGCATGCAATCGATACGCCAATCTGTCTATTATTAACTCTTGAAGCAATCAACCAATGCATTTACATTCTATCCTAACCAAAAAATAAATATACTTGATGAAAAAAATGAACCGCTCGCTCATGCGATTTATTGAAAGCTCATCTCTAATGAAATGCAATTTGCAACATTTTCTAAAGTAGAAAAATTATTCATAGTCGTAACTGAATTCACCAACCCCAACCCCCAAATTTATAGGAAATAATAATGTAACTGGTAAAACCAATGTTTAAGGAGAAACATTGCAGACAGGTGAAAAATAGCATACATGTCATTTGTTACCAAGAGAGTTGGTATACGCAAACCATAACTTCAGCGAATAGCACATGCAATATACAGTATAAGATTGATATCCTCTAGCGAAAATATACAAACACTGAGAAACAGTACAGTACAGTACCAAGATGGAATTTGACCAATGTCAACAGTGATGTTCCCTTCAATGACCTAAAAATCTCCAACTCTTTGTCAGGTCATACACATACATAACATCTCCAACTATGTACTAAGGAGCGATGTTGCGTAAATTGGCACCATCAACAACAATTGCCCTCAAGATCACTTTTTTACGGAATTGGAGATCTTCAGAAAGGATTACATTGATTCTCTCCTCAGCTTCTGTTGCCACAATAGGTATCATAAAGAGTGAAAATGCTTCATCATTATTGTTTCGGCAGAATGGAAAGACGCTAAGGAGACATATTTTTATCCAAATATTTCGAGGCCCATAGATCTCAAGGGGGAACTGAACTTAAAAGAATATGTTGCACTAATCTATCACCACGAACGTTATAGTGGAACCTATAATTTAAAAGTTAGAAATTCATCAAAAATTTTGTTTAGTCACAA